TGGTGAATTCGTGAGGCAATAAGATTCTTTAGTGAATCCAAGGCTTCTTGAAAAAGTTTTGCAGGGCTCCTTTAAATGAACATATCGCCCACAAACCGATTCATCATATATATTAAAGCTTGTTATGTCGGTTTATATGCTCCATATAAGTACACAAAAATTTTGATATGTTACATATTTGACAGGTTATCACTTACATCTACCAAAAGTGGAATTCTGGTACTACTGACAGTTGTTTTACCTTTCTTTGAATGAAAAAAAAGAATTTGCGTAGGAGCCTTATTTTATGCTTCTTGATTATTGTGCAGGTTAATTGATAAGTATGCCCATTTTTCTATATATGTCATATATACTGCATGAATTCGATTCGAAATTATTCGACCAATCTCACTATTCGCTTCGGACTTAAAATTCACTATTCGCACAAGCCTAGGCTCAACAGATGTAAAAAGTAGATATTGTATTAAGTAGTTTGGTAACCGCATGCACACATTGGCGCTTGCTAGACAGAACCTATGGTTGGAAAGTAGGCACTAAATCTGAACACCTTGCATGTTGATAGACCCCTTGGGCCAAGTGACACTCGTCTTGTCATAGCAACTTTTGGTTTGTGATATCTATGTAGACCACCTTCATTGGTCTAAAAAGGTATAGCAATTCTATATTCCTCTTTGTCTGTACACATATTTGCATGTGTATACCATTAATAACAGTGGGTGGTTTTCCAGCAAGAGATACCATAACAGTAATTGAGCAATTCAATACGGAAAATTGTTTTTCCCTTCAGCATCCCTTTTAGAGAAGAAATTTTCGCTGAAGGCTTACCTTCAGTGATCTAATTAAGCAGATATAACAATTCTATTTTCCTCTTTGTCTCTACACATATTTGCATGTCTATACCCTTAGTAACCGCCCCGCCGTGGTGGTACTGGTTAAGGTACTCGGCTGCTGACACGCAGGTCGCGGTATCGAATCCCGGCTGCGGTGGCTGCATTTCCGATGGAGGGGGAAATGCTGTAGGCGCGTGTGCTCAGATTTGGGTGCACGTTAAAGAACCCTAGGTGGTCGAAATTTCCGGAGCCCTCCTCTGCGGTGTCTCTCATAATCGTATGGTGGTTTCGGGACGTTGAATTCCACATATCTGTCAATATTGCCACGTTCCATTTCCCAAGTTTTTGTTATCGTCCCAAAACACCACACGATTCTCAGCGCGAACCGCGCCTGCAGATTTCGAGAAGGCTCCCGACTGTAGTAGATCATTTCGATAAGATCACGCCCACTGTGCGAACGGTACAGATTGTTCTGGAACCTACGCTACCGGCAGCGATAACGCTACAACATTCGAGGGCAAGAGTATAAATGCCGACGCGCTTCGCCACTTGTCAGTTGTTGATCGAAGGCCGACGCTGCGTTCGCCGCTATCAGTCCGAGACTGCTATCTGTGCAAGACTGCTGCTGTAATTGGACTTTCCGTTTACCGGGCACAGGTTCGCCCAAATAAACAGTTAAATCCCAACACGAAGTCTCCTGTCTTCGGCCACGTCACGACTCCGTGACATCTGGTGGAGGTGCTGCTTTGTTCATGTACCGGAAGCCCCCGTCAAGCCGTGAACCCAGCCCACGTCGCGGAGAAGACACCGACGCCAACCAAGAGCAGCGAACAAGCCGCCGACAGCAAGGTCTCCCACCAGAGTACGGCCTTCTACAAGACAAGGCGCGGAAGACCAAGACCATGACCTCGACAGCAGCGACAATGACAACCGGAGCGACCCAGCCCGCGATCGTCATTCATCAACCCAGGGAACCATCAACATTCCATGGGTCATCGTTTGAAGACCCGGAAACCTGGCTAGAAACATACGACCGTGTGGCCGCCCTCAACCACTGGGACCACGAAGAAAAGCTCCGTCGTGTGTACTTCTACCTGGAAGACACCGCAAGGACCTGGCTAGAGAATCGGGAGTCCACGCTCCGAACGTGGGATGTCTTCTGCGGCGCATTTCTGCAAACGTTCACGAGCGTCGCTCGCAAAGAGAGAACCGCTGCTCTACTAGAGACCTGGGTTCAGCTACCAAATGAAAAGGTTGGAATTTTCACAGAGGAGATGACCCGCCTATTCCGCCACGCTGACTCAGACATGCCTGAGGAGAAGAAAGTTCGTTTCCTCATGCGAGGGGTCAAACAGGAGCTCTTCGCGGGACTAATGAGGAATCCACCGAACACCGTCCAAGAATTTGTATCCGAGGCGACCACCATCGAAAAAACCCTGGACATGCGTACCAGACAATATAATCGTCGCCTGACTCCATAATGCGCTGCTGCTCAAGCCAGTGACTCCGAAGACCTGCGTGAAACGATCCGAGCGATCGTGCGGGAAGAGCTGCGCAAACTGTTGCCTTCGGCGCAGCCTCAAGTGGATGCGATCGCCGACATTGTGCGAGAAGAAGTCCGGCAATCGCTTCGAATTCCCCAAACACCGCTGCCCGAGCCAGAAACTATGAGCTACGCCGCTGCAGTGCGCCACAACGCTCCTCCCCGTCCACGCCAAAACGCCGCCCCGTCGCACTTCCGTCGCCAGACGCCACCGCCGCCACCACCCCCACCGACGTCCTACCGTTCCCCAGCGGGCGAGCGCAGTGCGCCCAGGAAAACGGACGTTTGGCGTGCACCTGACAACCGCCCGCTCTGCTACCACTGCGGCGAGGCCGGGCACACATACCGCCGTTGCCAGTACCGACAGATGGGACTGCGTGGCTTCGCCGTCAATGCACCGCGTCCGCAGCCAGGAGATCGGCCACGTGACATCGCCGACTACCTGGCAGGAATCCAGGTGGAAACCCTACCCAAACATGGATAGACGGCCCCAAGGAGATCGGATAGTGATGTGGCACTGGAACGCTAACGGCTACCGGTGCCGCAAGGCAGTACTTCAACAGCACCTGCGGTCGCTTGATCAGAAGGAGCTTCCCGACGTGATAGCGATCCAGGAAACACACGCTGAAGACCCCAAGATCACCTCGCTGCCGGGTTACCGAGCGTACGCCCGCCCGCCGAGCGCCCGCACCTGTGGGAAAGGCGCCGCGCAGGGCGTGTGCACGTTTGTGAGGAAAGGTATCACGAGCGTAGGCAAGGACGAAATCCTAAACTACAAAGACTCCGCCATCGAAGCCAACGTGACGGAAATCATCATTGCGGGCAAGAAGGGAAGAGGCAAGAACAAGGCTTCGACCACGGTGTACATAGCAAATGTATATAGCAACCCACAGCACGGAAACCAAAGATTCAAGACCCTGTTGCACAAGATCCGCGACGCCGCCCACGGCTCTGGGGCCGCGGCGGTCGTCTGCGGGGACTTTAACGCACCGCACGAGGAACTAGGGTACACTCGCACAACGGTGAAGGGAAAGAGATTACTGGAAGACGCCGAGGAAGCGAGCTTCGAGCTGCTCACCGACCCGGCACAACCAACGCGAATCGGAACGTCGACAGCCAGAGACACCACGCCCGATCTTTCGTTCGTGCATCTGCCGCGAGGCGGGACTGCGCGATGGAAGAACACGGGCTGGAATCTCGGAAGCGACCACTACATCGTCGAAGTCACGATACCGCTCGCCCACGCTCGTGTGGTCGACGGAACGACCAAACGACGTCAGCTCCTCACCGATTGGCACAAGTTCAGGGAAGCCGATCTGGGCGAGGTGGACGACGTGGAGAGATGGTCGGCGAGCCTTGTCTCCGCCGCCAAGGACGCCACGACCGAAGTCGAGGTACCGGAGGAAGCCGATCGGGTGGACCCGCGCCTCGCCCATCTCGTGGAGGCGAGGAGATCGCTACAACGAAGATGGAAAAGACAAAGGCACAACCGAACGCTGCGCAAACGCGTCGCGGCACTCGGGAAGGAAATCGAGCGCTACAGCCGCCAACTGTGTGCCCAGCAATGGTATGCCATGTGTAGCGAAGCGGAAGGCCAACTCCATAGGGGAGGCACGTGGGCCCTCCTGCGCCACCTCATGGACGAGACCAAGAGCAAGGAACATCAACGACACCGCATGTCGCAGATCCTCCACGCCGCGGCCAACCAGCTAGGCGAAGCGGAGATGCACAAGCGGCTAAACGACAAGTACCTCCCGGCCACAAACCACGTGGAGCATCCGGAATACGACGGCGCGCCCAACCCGCTGCTCGACCGCGAGATCGAGGAGTGGGAGGTGCGCCAGGCAACGAACGCCCTGAACTGTCGCTCAGCCGCGGGACCGGACAAAGTGACAAACAAGGCTCTGCGTAACATCAGCGACGCTGCAGTCTCGGCCCTGACGAAGTACTTCAACGCCTGCTGGACGAGCGGAAGCCTTCCCAAGCAGTGGAAGACGGCCAAGACGATACTACTGCCCAAGCCCACAAGCCGCCGGGAATAGAGGGCCTGCGCCCCATCTCGCTCACGTCCTGCGTGGGCAAGGTGTTGGAGCACGTCCTCAACAACCGGTGGCAGCGGTACTTGGAGGAGAACGGTCACTACAACGACTCCATGCTGGGATTCCGGTCTCGCCTGGGGACGCAAGACGCGATGTTGCTGCTGCAACGCGAGGTACTAGAGCCAGCCGGAGGCGTTCCGCAGAAAGACAACCGGGCCATTCTCGGCCTGGACCTGCAGAGCGCCTTCGATAAGGTGGAGCACTCGGCCATCCTTGCCTGCGTGGCAAAGCTCAACATGGGCAAGCGCACGTACGACTACGTAAGATCCTTCCTCACTCGTCGCACGGCGAGGCTAGAGGTGGGAGGCGAACGACTCGAAGAGAGGGAGCTAGGAAGCGTCGGAACCCCACAAGGATCCGTGATATCCCCGCTTCTATTCAACATCGTGATGATCGCCGTCGCCAAGAGCCTTGACGCGCTCGGACCGAAGATCCGGTACTGCATCTATGCCGATGACGTCACGATATGGGCGACGGGCGGCAGTGACGGCGACATCGAGGCCGGACTGCAGGCAGCGATCGACGCCGTGGAGACCACGCTGAGAGACACGGGGCTGAAGTGCTCGCCACAGAAGTCCCAGTTATTGGTGCTCCCACCACCGGGAAGATGGAGAAAGCGGGCCGCGGAAGAAGCGGAACGCAACATAGTCGTCCGAGCCAGCGACGGCACGCCGGTCCCGCACGTCCAGAGCCTCCGAGTACTAGGCATGTACGTGGACGCCCACCGCACGAACGGGACGGCAGCCAACCACATAGTAACGAAGATCGGGATAGCGACGAGACTCGTCAAGAGGGTCACGTCGAGGTCCCGAGGAATCCGAGAAGCGAGCCTCCTGCGACTGCTGCAGGCCTTTGCAGTTAGCCACGCAGCATACGCGGGGGCCTTTCACAAGTGGACGGAAGCGGAGAGGAAGCGAATCGACGCGGCCATCCGCAAGGCGTATGCGGGTGCCATGGGCCTGCTCAACGGCACCAAGACGACGGCCTTGCTATCTCTGGGAGCGCACAACACGCTCTCGGAGATCGGCGAGGCCCAACGTACTGCTCAATTGACGCGCCTGGGCCGCACCGCGGTCGGCAGGCGGCTGCTGGAACGAGTGGGCCTGTCCTCCCCCGAGGAACAAGACCACGAAACGTCTCCACTCACGGAGTCAACCATGCGAAGACTGGTGGTGTATCCGCTGCCAAAGAACATGGGTCCCGGCGAAAGCGAGGGACGACGAGCGGCGCGAGCCAGGGCGCTGCTGCTGCAACATCAGAACGACGAGGGCGCCGTCTACGTGGACGTGGCCAAAGTCAAGAACAAGGACGCCTACGTGGCGGCGGCGGTCGCCGCAACGACGGGCAAGATCGTCACGTCATGCAGCGTGCGTACGCGGAGCGCGAGCCAGGCCGAGGAGATGGCGATAGCCTTGGCGGCGCGCTCCCCGGGCGTGCGGACAATACTCAGTGACAGCAAGACGGCCATCCGTAGCTTCTCGCGCGGAGCCGTGTGCGGGGCGGCTGCTAGGGCGTTGGCAAGCGACGAGTCCAAGTCGAGGCTGACGCTAAAATGGTTCCCGGCTCACATGGGTAGGGACCTGATACCAGGATCTCCGAACCGCAACGAGGAGGCGGATGCCGCGGCCCGTGGTCTCGCCACGTGCCGGACCGCGGCCGCGCCCGCCTCCGAAGACACGACGGCGACCAAAGAAGAAGGCGAGGAGCAGCTGCTCGATTACGGCGACATCCTCGCGTGGTACAGGGAGCAACGGCGTGGCTTCCCGCCTCCGCACAGGGATCTTACCCGGTGGGAGGCGGTGAGGTTGCGCCAGCTCCAAACCGAGACTGTGCTGACCCCATCGCTAGCGCGACACGTGTGCCCCGAACTCTACGTGAGTGAAATGTGCAGTGTGTGCGCGAGCGCGAGAGCCACCCTGGCTCACATACTCTGGGGATGTGACGCAGACAGCGCGGACGGTCCGGTGTTACCGCCGCAAGTAGAACAGCGTGTGGGGTCTACGGACCCAGAAGACCAGCGAAGGGCCGTCCGGCAGCTCGAGGTCGCACTGGCGCTGCAAAGGCGAAAGGGGGACACCCTCAGTAACCCGAGCGGCGACGGGGCACGAAGGCCTTGAGGTCTAGGCCCGCGTGACATTAGGACTTCTAGTGTAACGTGAGATAGGGTGAACCCCACGCCCTGCGCGGCCGGAGGGAATCCCGCATGCTGGAACCCAATAAAGTTTATTCTCTCTCTCTCTCTCTACCTGGCAGGAACTCAATGGACACCACGAAGTCCTTCCCGTTCGCCGTCGCCCAGCCGCCGCATGTCACCGCACCCCCGGCAGTACTCTGGCCCAACGCGGGGCCGGTATCCTAGCCCGTATCCGGGAAACTAAGGGCAGCAACCGATGGAGGTGCGGTTTCTGTGCGACGAACTACCGAAGATCCTCCGACGACGACGACGCCGCGACGTAGCTTTCCGAACACAACGCCAACCAGGCAAAGCCCTGACGGCGAAAGCTCACTTACCGAAGGTGGCCTGACGACGCAACATGGAAGCAGCGGAACAAGCCGACGCAGCCGTGACCCGACGCCGCGCCCTAACTGTAATGCGAGACGGCGAACTAGCGACCTCGACGTTCTTATCGACGGCCACAGTGTGACCGCTCTCGTCGATACTGGAGCCGACTATTCTGTCATCAGCGGGTCGTTCGCCGCGAAGTTAAAGAAAGTTAGGACAGCTTGGAAAGGCCCTGAAATCCGCACAGCCGGAGGTCATCTCGTAACGCCTGCAGGAATCTGCACAGCGAGAGTCACCATTATAACGGCCGTATTTATCCTACAGACTTCGTAGTCCTACAGCGTTGCTCGAGAGATGTCATCCTTGGCATGGACTTCTTATGCCTCCATGGTGCTGTCATCAACCTAAAAACAAAGTCGATAACGCTATCCACAGAAGAAGCACTACCGCCGCGCACGGTCGTCAGGACACCATGCCTTGAATGTGCTGGAAGAACAAGTCACCATTCCGCCTCGCTCAAGCGTCATTATTTCAGTCGGGCGCTCCTAAATCACCTGACTTGGAAGGCGTCGTTGAAGGGAGTCAGGTTTGAGTGTACTTAAATAAATTTACATGCACCTGAGGTATGCGAAATTTCCTGAGCCATCCACTACAGCGTGCCTCATATTTGTATAGTTTCAATATGCAAAACACCAAAAATATTGTATTACACTTCCTCGTATACTTTATATTCTCTCATGCCAGTCTCCCGACACCGGAACAGTGAAGCTTATTTTGTCTTTTGACCTCTTTTCAGCGATGCCTCTAGCTTCTAGAAGTTTACTGAGGACCAGCAGTCGAAAGGATGAAGAAGCAGATGATGATGGCGTAATAGAAGCTCAAGGTAGACACAGATTAACAGCGAACTCTGCTTGCACGGTAGAAGATACGGAAGGGCCTGCCACAGTCGGGAAGAGTCTTGTGCCAATGGACTTTGTTCGCGAAAGTTTCAGTACCTGAATAAGGCTTCAACTTTTTGGAATTGTCATAGCCTCAAGCCTTTCCAGTGCAACTTGTGTCTACAGACAATTGTGACGTGAAGTCATCTGCTTGAATTCCACATGGACAGAGTGAAGGCAAACCTGAAGGAAAATTACAATAGAAATTTATGTTCCTCCTATAAAAAACACGTTTCCCATAACAGGAGGGGTGGGTCCAAATAGGAAGTGCAATACGTCCCAAAGAAGGCATTAAATTTTTTATGAGGGCAATAAAGTGTTTTACAAGGTGAATCAAATGCTGCATATGTGATCAATAGAGTGATGTACACCTCCACTAGACAGATATTATGCTTCATAGTCTCAACTAGGCTTGTGCGAATATTCAAATGCTGCGAATATTTGAACGAATAGTAGTAGAGTATTCGAATCTGCTTTGATTCGAATTTGAAGTATTGAAACTTTCGAAGTATTCGCAATGAACAAATAAGTGTATATTATTTTGCACGTAACCTCCTGTAAAAGTGGTTTCACTGAGGTGTAGAGGTGACAAGCCGTGAAAGCACCTATCCAAGAAAAATCCGTTCTGCCGCGTAGTTCTACTTCAAATTCAATGGGGCCCTGCAATTGATTGATTTGATTGATATGTGGGGTTTAACGTCCCAAAACCACCATATGATTATGAGAGACGCCGTAGTGGAGGACTCCGGAAATTTCGACCACCTGGGGTTCTTTAACGTGCGCCCAAATCTGAGCACACGGGCCTACAACATTTCCGCCTCCATAGGAAATGCAGCCGCCGCAGCCGGGATACGAACCCGCGACCTGCGGGTCAGCAGCCGAGTACCAAAAGGGGGCCGTGCAACACTTCTTGTGCATGGTCACTGCCGATCGGTAGTCGAGGCTACCGATCGCGCGAGCTTAATATTTTGGCACAGCGCGCGGCCTGAAATTCACAACAAATCCTCGAAGTCAGCTGAAAATTGCTCTCTTCTGTCTGCAAATGACGCCACAAGCTCAAAAATCCCTCGTCACAGCCATTCAATCAGCCATTGCTTGATTTGGGCATTGCGCACTGGGTCATTACTGGGGTCGCAGCGGGAGGCCGCGACTTGTCCATGTGTACGTGCGCGATCGCACTGAAAAGCCGCGTATTTGAAGAAAAAAAATCGCAGCATATCCACGGAGTGAATGATGAGTGGGGCGAAGCGTCCGTCAGCCCGTCCGTGCTTCCGTCCGTCCATTCGTTCTTGCTTCCGCCCGTCCGCGCGACCATCCCTGCGTCCATCTATGCGTCCGTCCGTTTGTGCGTCTATCCGTCCGCGCGTCCGTCCGCCTTCTAGTCTGTCCGTCCGTGAGTCCATACAGTGAACACTCGAGTACCGCCATCTCGCATGCCCTGTGGCACATATCCGCTCCGCGCGTCCGTCCGTCTGCTAGTCTGTCTGCCCGCCCGCCCATGC